GTTTGGGTGGTTTTTTTTGGGGGGGGTGGGGGGGGGGGGGGCTCAGGGAGAGTAAACCTTATTCAGTGTGACCACGGATTGGAGCTCTCGCCCGGAAGAAACTGTGGGCTGCAAGCGCTGATCTAAAGTGCTGAATAAACAACTTGCACTTGTTGTTGGAAGCCCGCCCTAAATAATCTATTATAGCGTTTTCCTTACGACTCATGTTCGTCGTAGAACAGCGACTTCTGACTCGATTGTGTAACAACGTACTCGCTCTACTGTCGGCGCCTAACAAGCCCTGGGTCAGGTATGCCTGACTTGCGGCCTGAGAGGGGCATCCTATCAGACGAATGCCTGAGACGGTGATTTGTTGCCAGACTGCTCCTACATAATTGCAAGCAGCTCCGGGCAGCGCATGTAGAAATCCACGACGATGAGAGCCCGATATGACCCGCGCTATGTATGCTTTGAAAATATAACTAGGAAAAAACTATGTGCCACCAGGGGTGTACAGAAAAACGGTCATCCATAGCCGCAAGGAAGGAGCCGTGCATGTTGACGCATATCCGTAAAACGACTCGCTTGATCAACGGAAATTAAGAAGACAAGCAAGCCACGAGGGCAACAGCAACAGCAACTACACGACTTCTGCAAAAGAGAGAAATCGTAGTTCTACGTGTGATGGAGGGGGAATTTCCCAATTTTCAGGTTGGTTTATGCCACTATATAAACACAAAATTATTGCGCGGGCCGCACAATCAACCATGCAACTCTCGCCGTTTCATTCCTATTTGAGGGGAGAAGACATATCAGCGGCGACGCCAACATCAGCGCAGCCTACTACAGAAGCGGCCCGCACTTCAAAACTTGGAACGTAGGAAAATCAGGCTCAAGACAAGATAAATTCAAGAACTTGGCTACAAGAACAGATGCTCAGTCAATAAGCCTACACTAAAACCTATATAATCGCCGCAAGGGTACCCCATCGACATAAAAAGAGACGAAACAAGACGTTCTTGAGTGTGGGCATGAACCGTACTGTACCTTGCAGCGACAGCTGTAGCGACCACTGTTCTGACCACTGATGACTCACCTCCTCCGCCACGTCGTCTTCCCGCTGCTTCTTAGCCGCTTTGACGGCCCTGTTAGCCTCCTCTTCCTCCCGAGCCTTGCGGAAGTTCTCCATGAACTCCTGCAAACACAACAACACAGAAAAAGCACAGCATGAAGATGAAGTCGTGTTCAACGGAAAATGTCCATGGACTCCTGCAAAACAGCAAGAATGCAGGATAAAAAGAAAAACGTGCGCGTTACACGCACACACGCAAAAAACGGGGACATTAACACAAAGCACACAACAAGCTCTCCGCCAGGGAACGGGCGAGTGACGCCGTGAGCAAGAGCTTGGTCAACGGTACGATTAACATGCAACCCTTGAGGGCGAGAAAAAAAAAAGGTTCTTGAGCGGGTGACAGCAAACACCACCGACTCCTGGTAGGGGATGTATGAAGACTACAAGCTAGATAAATAGCTTAGGCCAAGCTGATTTCATTCACGAAAGAGCCAGCGTGCGCCGCCCGCGACCGGCCACCCAAACACGGGACACACCGCGATAGTCGGTTGTGTTTTGCCTCATGTTACCGACACTGTCTCAAGGAGCAACATAGGACCCCTACTACAACATGAAAATTCCCGTCCATGACACTGAAGCTTCAGAACCGACTCTTACGCATACAACCACAGGAACATGCTTAGTGCTTCTCCACAAGGCTTCATCTTCACCTTCCGCTCCGACTCCTCCCTCTCCTCCTCCGCCTCCCTCTTCCTTCGCTCCTCCGCCGTCTCTTTGAACGACGACTCCGCCTTCACCGGGACTACCACCTTCCCATCGGGACCCACGTCTGCCGGCACGAACTCCGAGGGAGGGTAGTACTTGCGGCCGTTCTTTCGCTTCACCTGAGGGTGGTGGCGGCGGCGGCGACGGCGGTGTTAACGTTGGTAGTGGTCACAAAGTGATAAAGAGGTCAAAGTGGTGAACGTCCTATGGGCGGTGGTGGTGGTGACAGGAGGTCTGAAGTAACAACCAGGCATTTTTGAGAAAAGGGTGTCCTATGGGCGGTGGTGGTGGTGATACGAGGCCATGCAGCGAACTTAAGGAATAGCCAGGTATTATTGAGGAAAGGACGTGTCCTATGGGCGGTGGTAGTGGCCACAGGAGGCCATGTAACGACTTCAAGCTATTAGCCACGTGTTACAGAGAAGAAGACGTGTCCTATGGGCGCTGGTAGTGGTGATAGCAGGCGATGTAGCGAACTTAAGGAATATCCAGGTATATGAGGAAGGGCGTGTCCTATGGGCGGAGGTAGTAGCGACAGGAGGCCATGTAGCGACTTCAAGCTATTAGCCAGGTGCTATTAGGAAAAGGACGTGTCCTATGGGCAGTGGTCGTGGTGACAGGAGGCCATGTAGCGAACGTAAGGAATAGCCACATATTTCGAGAGAAGGATATGTCGTATGGGCGGTGGTAGTGGTGACAGGAGGCCACGTAGCGACTTCAAGTTATTCGCCAGGTTGTTGTTGTTGTTGATGCAGCCAGGTTTGTTGAGAAAAGGATGCGTCCTATCTGCGGTAGTAGCAGGTGGCCATGTGGTGAAGTTAAGCAATGACCAGGTACATTCGAAAACTGGTTTATGTGTGCACGCCCTCCACACTTCTCATAAGACGCGTTCCTCAACACTTGCCGTAAGACGCGCTCCTCAGCACTTGTCAAAAGACGTGCTTCTTTGTCAAAAGACGTGCTTCTCAACACTTCTCGTAAGACGCAGCACACGCCGCTTTTCTCTGTGTTGATGGACCAATCACCTTTCGTATCGGTCTGATGGGGATCACGTATTCCCCGTCGCTGGGTTCGGTTTCGTCCTCCTTGTCGCCGTCGTCATCATCATCGTCCGCCAAGTCGAAGGCCTTACCGTAGTCCTCCTCCTCCGACCCTCCAACGTCGGACTCTGACTCCATAACGTCTGATTCCCACGTCTCCTGCTCATACGGAAGGATGAGGTGGAACAACGGGGGGGGGGGGGAGAAGGGTACTCATGTAAAAGCATGCCATGGTCATTAGACCATACACCTCGGTTAGGGGGTACGCAAATAAAAAACACAAGAAACGAAAACAAGAAGACGGGCAAATAACTTGTTACCCGCAACATGTGCCATCAACCCTGTTGTTCTGGTGCGCGATGTACTTGAGAGGGAAAAAAACGATACTACATCTATCCGACAAAGGAGTCGACGCGCGGGGAGGGGGTTCCGCCAATGGACGCGAACATCAAACCACTACAACCAACTAACTGCGAGCACTCGTGCGATACAGTGACACTCCTTTCGGTCAAAAGTGGCAAGGCTTCAAGCCTAAAGCGGCAAGACAGACATTGGACTAGGGCAAAGAACTTGACGCACACAAGATAACCAAACAACACGGAGTCTCTGCCACTGTCGTGTGCCTCACGTTGGTCTTCGTCGCCCGCATGATCTCGTCCAGCGATATCGTGTTCCCCAGGATACCGCTCACGTCGGGGGCCCCGCCGCTTGCGGCGTTGTTCGCTGCCGCCGCCGATGTCATGTCCCCCGCGCCAAAGGCGGCACTCATGTTGTCCTGCGGGTCCCCCGGGTATGAATGACGCACCGGAACGGAAACGAGGACGAACAACAAGGGGTGTCGACAAAGGTTTGGTGGCTGAAGCGCGGGGAAAAGGCAAAGAACCAACAGTCTGAAACCGACAATACTGACCAGTTTCAAACGGCGCCTTCTCCGAGACACAAACGAAAATATCAAAATTGAACAGAGGCAAAACACCGCAGTGTTACAATATCGCCAACATTGAAACAAAGCAGGTACTGTACCAGCCAATTTACCGACAGCAGAGAGACGTACTCTTGGCATTTGCATTCGTCGATCAGAGGGTGCACAATACCAGTTTGCAAGAGCCAACACGACAGCGGTATCTACAACAAGGGACACAGCAAGGCTATCAAACAACACGCATGCACGGCAACGGAAGAAAAACTCGATTGACTCTTCGTGCCTGTGTCACCGAAGGGGCCTTGAGTCCCGTCATGAAGGCGTCGAGAGGGTCGGCCTCGTCATCGTCCTCGCCTCCCGCACCGCCGGCCGTCCCATTACCGGCGATCGGCTACGGTACGTTTTGCGCGGTGCAATCGCGGTTGGTTGAATCGGAAGGGGGGGAGCGAACAACCAGAGCAACGGAAAACACAAGAGTTAAAAAAGGGGGGGCGGGGGGGGGATAGACAACATGGGCTATACGGAAGGCAACAACGTAACACAAAGGAAAAAACAAAAGGTGGGGATGGCAAAAATTGGGGTATACGAAAGGCAACAGCCCAACACAGAGAAATCAAAGGGTGGGGGTACACAACGAATGGGGGGGCATACCGCAGGGTTTAGGATAAACATGGAGTCCACAGTTGTGGCGTGGAGCGCAACGCCTCGCGCCGGGCGGACAAATCATCTTCTAGCGCTTCAGCCACACGCACCAGGTCCTCGGGTAGCACACCCATCCCTCGGGGGACGGGAGTGACACCAAGACACCAAGACTTGAACGAAAATAAACTAGCAGGCGCGAGACAAGGAGCATCCTCGTCGCCGGCGGTGTGACGGTGGCCACGTGTGAAACCGTAACCGTTGCGCGAAAAAAAAACATGCCTCCTGTACATCTATCTACCTTGCCGGACACACGCATTAAGGATCCGTCGAGCCACAAGCGGTGCACCACAAAAAAACACAAAGGGGCGATTTTTTACTGGTGGTGCATGAAAAAAAAAAGAAAAAGGAAAAGGAAGAAACCCCGGGTTTTGTAGGAAGAGTTCTGCGATCCGTCACGTGTTTGACTCGACCTTACTCGACCATCCCGCCCTCGATTAACTCGCGAGTTTTTGCACTAGATGCGCAAAGAAAGCCAGTACCCTGGTACGACTGCTGTGAGTCGTTTAGGCACCCTGACACATAGTCCTGTTTGATTTTGACGAGCCACCTCTATGACATACCACATGGCATATCATACACACACACATACATGCATGTACGGTGTGGCTTTCTCTCTATCCAACAGAACCGCATGACCACCAGTATCATTACAGTATTCGGAGAGCATGCAGAGAGCCCGCAGCCCGCACTGCATAGGAGTAGTATGTAGCCGTCGCGAGCAGAGCACAGGACAATGGCGGGCGCTGCCTCGACAGATCATGCACAGAGGATGAGAAAAGATCCAAGTTAAAAACTCTCCAACGGCCACAACTAGTCTTGCTTCTAAAACTCAGCAGACCTCTCTCTCTCTCTCTCTCTCTCTCTCTCTCTCTCTCTCTCTCTCTCTCTCTCAACCAGCTGCTAACACTCTTCATTGCTGGCGTGGTGACTGTTCTGTAGCGGCTGTGTCTGTGGCAGCTGTGAGGTCTCTGACACGTCAAAGAGTGTTACAGTTGCTGTCGGTATTGGACATTTCCCCCTCCTCCTCTCTTTTCTATATATATGTCCAATACCGACGGAACGTGCACCACCAGTAAAAAATCGCCTTTCCCAGGGCACACACCACACGTGCACCCCGTCAAACACATCCATCCATGTCTATTCCACTCCCAGAAAGGTGAGCCAAGACGCCCCGCAAACTCACCTCTGCTTCGCCGGCTGCCCCCCCCCCACCCGCAGCGCCCGAACTAGCAACCGCGGAGCCCCCGCCATTGCTGGTAAGCGACGAGGGCTCGGGCTGTTCCCACGGTGGGATGCCCTGGAGCCCCTGAGGCGGCAACAACGAAAAAGGCGCGTTGGGGTAGATCGGCCACGAGTCAGAGGAGAATCCTCAACGCGATATGTTCGTGTCTCTGTCCTTTAGCATCGACACACGGGAAAAGCATGGAAGAGGTGTTGTACTGAATGGAGGTCAGAACGTGTCTTCTTGGGCCAACAGAACGACAGCAAAAACAACGTCAATGACAACGACAACTACTGCTGTTGTAGTACGACCCAAAGACTGACCAAAGACTGCTGGAGCTGTGCATGCACGTACCTTTTTGCCGCCGTCATCATCGTCGCTGCCCTTGCCCATGCCGAAGAAGGTCTTGTCGTCCTCTCCATCTTCCTCGGAATCTTCTTCATCGTCCGCCCATCCCTTCAGGGGGACAAAACAACAAACGGTACGAGGCAGTTGAAAAGCACGAGTCAGAGAACAAATATATCGTCCATTGGGGACAAGACAACAAACGGTTCGAGACCATTGACAAGCACGAGCCACAGAACAAATATATTATCCATTGGGAGAAACAAAAAAATGGTATGAGACAAATGAAGCGCACGAGTCAGACAACAAAGACACCATCCATTGGGGACAAAACAACGGACGGTTCGAGACAATCGACAAGCACGAGCCAGAGAACAAATACACCATCCCTTTGGGGGGACAAAACAACAAACGGTACAGGACAATTGACAAGCACCATCGAGTCAGAGAACAAAGACACCATCGCTTGGGGGAGGCAAAACAGCATATGGTACGAGACAATTGACAAGCACCATCGAGTAAGAGAAACAAAGACAGAGGCCCCAGGGCGTGATCGATGTATGGATGGACATCTTGTACACGGGGCAACCGAACCGACGTTTTCAACAACGAACACGAAGAGGCCATCGTGGTGAAATCGCTCCTCCGATACGGGCGGTGTATCAAGTCCATCAAACACTGCGCAAACATGAAGTAAAATACACCAAAAAAACGGCATGAAGGACAAGTTATCCAAAGAGACAGAGGCTCGATTCCGTTTGCAGAGCAAAAAATATAAACAAAAGACGCAAGCATATGCGGTCACACGCGCTTAGCGAGCGTCGAAAGCGCGGCGACCCATCTCCTCAAAACCTCGTTTGCGTAGTTACCAAGCTGTTCCCCCGTCCGAAACGACAAAAAATGTCCCGCACTCACCGCGTGCTTCTTGCTGGTTCCCGGCTTGTTCTTGCCGGCCGCCTTCCGACCAAACCCGAAGCCTCCCTTCTTCTTGCCCAGCGTCTTGCCGCCTAATGGCTTCCCGCCGATCGGCTTCCCGAGGGCAAGCTTGATGCTGGGGGCTGATCCCTCCGTGGGCGGTGGAGGGGTTTCCTTCGGGTGTGGCAGGCGGCGGGGCGGAGCGGGGGGGTGCTCATGTTTTGCTTGCCTTAGCGGTTAGAACATTGACCACGCGTCCTCTAGAGGACGGAGCATTGTTCTCACCGGGCCGGGGGGGGGGGGGGG